TTCCTGATAAATTCTTAACAAGAGAACTAAGGAAATCCCCTTATAACAATTGACAATAATATTTATATATTGTATTATCCCTCCAGATACTGACAGAGAATGTAGCGTAGAATCTTTAAGTAATTTTAAACTGTTTGTCCTCGTTTTAGTGTAGTGTTTTGTACAATTTTATGTTATTTTTAATGTTTCCACATTCTACGCTTGCCGGATAGTTTACATTTTGACGAAATGCCCCTGAAGATGCTATTTTAAGCGAAAGTACTTGGGCTAGATTTAATTAACTTGTGCTCGATAATAGCCTTATTTCAAAGTTCATTTATTCGAGCATTCAACCTCATTTCATTTAAATATTTATATTGTCAAAAAATGCATAAAAAATATATAATAACACGTTATTGTATACACGTAAATTGTTATTGTTCTAAAGCTATTTTCTTGTGGCATTTTAAAGCAATTACTATTTTAATGAGAATAAGCCAAAATTAAAGTTTAAAATAAGTTTATTGACGTTTCAATTTCCACGCAACTCAGATTCTCCTTCTTCTTCTTCTTCTGGTTCCTATCCGTTTCGGATGTTGGAAATCATATTGGCAATCATAACCTTGCTCGCTGCGGCTCGAAACAGCTCCGTTGAGGTTTTCTTAAACCATGTTCTTAAATTCCGCAGCCATGATATTCTCCTTCTACCGGGTCCTCGCTTACCTTTGACTTTACCTTGCAATATAGACTGCAGCAGGGAGTAACGGTGCTGATTTCTCATAACGTGTCCCAGATATTGCAATTTTATGCGTTTGATCGTAAACACAATCTCTGGTTCCTTCTTCATTTTTCCTAGAACTTCCTTGTTCGTGATCCTTGCTGTCCATGATATTCTCAGCATTCTTCTATAAAGCCACATCTCAAATGCTTCAAGTTTTTTAATAGTGGTGTCTGTAAGCGTCCATGCCTCCGCCCCGTACAACAACATAGAGAAAACATAGCATCTCAAATGTCTCATTTTTGTATCTAGGAAATTGTTGTGACTTTTGAAGATGGCGCTCATTTTGTTAAAGACCGTTCTTGCCTTTTCTCTGCGGCACTTTATTTCCTATACATTGCTCCACTGTTCGTTTATAATAGTTCCCAGGTAGCAATACTGTTTTACTCGCTCTATCTGCGTCTCATTAATCTATAGATGAGCCCCTTTTATATTCTCCTGTGCTGATAATCTTTGTTTCGTTTTGTGGGTATTAATGTTTAGTCCGTACTGTTGACTGTACTCGTTTATTCTGTCCATTAGCCTCGAAGTCCCTCTAAACTATCTGCTATCACCATGGTGTCGTCGGCATATCTAACATTGTTTACTCTTTCACCATTCAGAAGGATGCCTTGTCTATTCCGTAAAGAGCCTTGTTAAAAATTTTCTCTGAGTATATATTAAATAACAACGGCGATAGGATACATCTCTGTCTAACTCCACATAGTATTTTTATGTGATCTGTTTCTTCTCCGTTAATTTTCATGTATGCGGCCTGATTCCAGTAGAGTTCTGAAATTATTCTGAGGTCTTTGTCGTCCAGGTCTGCTTCTTTTAAAAGGTTTATCATCTTTTGATGTTGAACTCTGTCAAATGCCTTTTCATAATCGATCAAGCACGCGTATACGTCGCAGTTAACGTCCCTGCATCTTTGAATCAGTACCTGTACTCCGAATATATTGGCGACTCAGATATATTGGCAATATCATTTTAAAATCGCCTACTTTAAAATGTATAATATATGCCTGAATTGTTAATATAAATGAGTCAAATAAAATTAAATTATTAAAAGATTTTTTCACCAAGTAACAAAAAACAAAATTTGTCTAATTTACTAATGTTTGTATTTTGAAAACGATTTAAGCAGAAATTGAAACGTCAATAAACTTATTTTAATCTGCATCCACCAAAAGGTTATTAGCGACGAAACAAAATATAAATAACAAAGTTAAACACCTACAGATTGTACAAAATGTTTATGGATCTGAGATAATTCACTATATTGTCACAGGAACAGTTTTGACCTAGAGCCTGTGGTAGAGCGTTTGGGATCTTGTAGCGCTGTCTTTCTTGGTCATATTTACTACAAATTGTTAAAAAGTGTTCGACTGTTAATCGGACGTTACACTGATCACATATAGGTGGATTTTTCTTTGTGAAAAGGTAGGAGTGCGTTAATCTGGTATGTCCTAGACGTAAACGCGCAACCGCAATTTGTTCTCGTCTATTGCGCGACGATGGAAACCACTGAGACACATTATTTTTGATTTTATTTAGATTGGAATTAGTTTGAGACCACTCATTTCGCCACAAACACCACACTTTATTTTTAAAATAAGCTTTTAAGTCACTGGAAACACACTTGTCTATCGGCTCTGACAAATCACTTAAAATTGCCTCTCGTGCAGTCCTGTCAGCTTCTTCATTTCCTGTTATTCCGACGTGTGAGGGAACCCATAAAAATTGGACGCTTCTTCCATGTTCATGAGCTTGGGAAAGCTGGTATTTTAGCAACTTTTCAAAAGGATGTTTCGGAAAAATGTGTTTTAATGAGTTTAGAGAGCTAAGGGAATCTGTTATGATCAGGGCTTTTGTGAGTGTAAGCTCGTTAAGAAGTTTCACAGCACGGTATATGGCGTAGAGTTCAGCTGAATATGTGCTACATGCTGGGGTAAACGGAAAAGAAGATTATTTTCTGAAGAAACTGTATCGCCTCGATGTATTTGTTTACTGGTATTGCTACACCACCGCTTGCACGACTTGCATCTGCACGGTCTTTGCGGAAACAAGTGAAATTTTTTGAATTGTACAACTGATTGGTCTTTAAGTTTGTCTCCTGTAGACAAATAATATCTGGAGAATATTCAGATAAAAGAAGCTGTAGCATAGGGAGACGATGTAAAAATCCATCAATGTTCCATTGAAGTATCGAGTTGAATGTTGTTAACAGATTCGGAGTTAGATGATACTGAACAATTGTCTACAGAAGAGTCACTATCTAAGTCAGAAATCTCTTTCCCTAAATGGTTGTGTAGTTTCTTTTGAAGTTTTGTAAACTTGCTTTTTGTAGATCTATCATTTGCATATTGATAGCTGCTTTGTAAAAGATGGAGTAAACCAGCCATATCAGTTGTAAATTCTTTGACGACGCTAATAGTGTCGGGGAGCCTTGGACATTATCAATCAGTAAGGACAATTGGTGGTAATTTAAAACGAATGGTGGGGTATGATTATCAATGAAATTTTCAAGAGTTTCCCGTGTAGATGGGACTTTAGATGAGCGCGGTTTTTTTGGTTTAGAGGGTTTGGGTTTTGCAAACAGATTTTCTGATGAAATTGCTGAGTCTGAAGGAGGCGTGACGATCTCACCAATACTGCGTTTTATGGAAGAACTTGCGTTTTCGCAATTGCTATTAGAGTTTTCACTTAGATGCTGTGGCTTTATTACATTTGGAAGTACTGGAGCAAACTCATTGGTAGTGACAGAAGTCGAGCTTGAAGTTTTATTTGTAAGATTGGTTGAAATGGTTGTTTCAGAAAATTGTGGTGATGTATCAGTTTTATTAGAATTTTCTGCAGTTGTATCTAATGGAAAAGGAGCTGATAGATTGGAGGATATTGCTTCCGAAGTTTGTGAAAACGGTATTGCCGCTGAATGAGGTTGATTGAAAGTGTTGCTATGAGTAGGAGTATTAGTAATTTCTTTGTCATGGAGATTTGTAGGTGTAGGTGATATGCTCGGATTTGATAATGGATAACTTGATGACTGCTGGGTGTTTGGTACCTTGTGTAGTATACTTGTTGAAGCTGTTTGATTTGGTACTTCATTGTTTGACTCAATATGAGTTGATTCCGTTACTGAACTGTTATTGCATTGGGATGATATGTGTCCTGTATTTTTGCAAATAAAGCAGGTGAGTGTACCTTGTGACAAAAATATGCGGTAAGGTGTTTGGTCGAAATTTATTAGAATAGAATCTGGAATTGGTGATGTTATAGGGCTTATATAAACTTGCCTCCGAAAGCTCAATATGTGACTATATTCGGGAGAGTCGAGCTAATTTTCAGAAATGTTATTGGGGAAATAAGCTTTAAACCGATATTCTGTAATTCTTCAACTAATACTTGATGAGGAATTGACGGGCAGACTCCAGACAAGACTAGTCTTTCTGCTGGAGAGACAAGTCTTCGTGCTGTTACAACTTCGCCGAGTACTTCTATAGAGCCATGTTGTGTCATGAAGTTATCTACTACGGTTTTGTTTGCCAAATACATGCAGATTCTATTATGAGATAATCTAGATGAAAAAATAATATTTTTTGGGTTGATGATTGTGCCCAAAGGAATGAGATAATCCTGCAGTTTAGCATTATCGATACAACTAAATACAATTGCTTGGGTCTTACTCGGAAAAGAATGTGAAGCGGCTGATGCATAACTGTTTGTGATATTCGAACGTTGATTTACTGGACTGGTTAGATCGGAAGGTGTGTTTACATTGTGTGAAGTCATTTTAAGCTGCGGCGGCGAAGGCCTTACTCCGACTCTGGTAAGTGACAAACCAACCGCATGCTACTATAAGCTACTTATAGCAGCTAACCTCACAAAATGATTGTACGGTAGTGTATATTTATTATTTGACGTTTTCTTTTCACAATAATAAAATAATAATTACGTATAGATGACTTACGTAGTAGTATCTAGTAGATAAATACTTTAATTTTAAACAACTTTTTAATAAAACCACTTGTTTTTATTAAAAACTAGGAGTACAATATCATTACAACTTAACCATACCTTGCCAGGGCCGGTCCTCAATTGCATTAATTGTTTAAGTTGTTAGTATAAATTAGATAGAAATTATTTTTAAAAAGAATTAGCTTTTACAATTAGGGTTTAGTCTGAACAGAATTATTCTTAATTAAACTAGAATGATTATTATGCATACTAACCAAAATTATTTAACTATAAAAGCGATACTTACATACAGCCTTTGAAAAACTGTTTTGTAAGGATCAAATTGCAAAGATAATGGGTCACGTCTGTCTTTAGGTTTTGGTATAGAGGCTGTAATGATGGCAAGACAATATTGAGTTGGAAATGGTGCCTTTGCAGTTAGACATTGATCGAAATGTCCCATTTGATAAACGTTTCCCCGTAAAACACCTGCAGCTGATTTGGCCGTGGCATCCCACACTGAAATAAAAAATTAAAATTTGTTAACAAAATTCCTTTTTACTTAAAAAAATGTTTTGGTATACATATTGACGAGATATCATCTAAACATTTTTTAGTATTGGGCTATTTACACACGATGTTATGTCAATAAAAATAAAATTATATTTGCTAACTTAATATTTGGCTGTATGGAATCACTCTTAATGCCAAAAAAATTAGATTACAAAAACATTATTTTTAGTTTTTATTGATACGGATCTATTCTTATTCGGGTTCTCTCTTCTACTGGAAGGTCATCATTGCTATTCTATTTTTAATAGCCACATTTCTAAAGAGCTCTAATGAAGCTCAATCAAACTATTCTCATAAATTTCCCACCCAAGACAGTTTACGTCTTCCTGTATCTTCTATTCCTGCATAATTAACCTAATTAATGATTATATATGTTACCTAATGATTTTATCCGTACACATTTTCTCCTATACCACCACATTTCAATGAAGATTAGTTCTGTGATTTGATATTGTTTTACTGTCCATGTATATAGAAATGTGGAGAAGATTAATAGCATCGTAGCATTTTAAACGAATGCTACTGGAACTATTGCAAAGAGATTTCGTTAGTTTTATGAATGTATTTTTTTTTATTTCTATTCTAGATCGAATTTCTTTTATCTAATCTCCATCGCTTGTTAACCATATTTCTAGGTATTTATGTTTTGGTACTCTTTCTGTCGTTATACTCTCGATGACGTTTTGTACATTTCGTGGTTGTTTTAAGAATTAACAGTACAATTCGTCAAACATTCTATGTATGAATCGGTATTACATTGGGATCATATAACGTTATTTTCACATCTTCATTCCCTGCTTCATTGATGACTCTGTAATATTTTTAAACCCTTAAATAAATTACAGTTTTCTATCATTATATCCATTGACTGAGTTGCCAAGTTGTGTAGACAGTAATTTTATCAAATACGCTATAACTTATAGGCTTACTAGTAGACCAAGTTACCAAAGATATCTTTAACAACATCTTTATGTATAATATTTTACTGCTCTGCTGTGTCAATCGGAATATAATATACAAAATAAACAAGGTTACGGTTTTACAGAAACACGTGGTCTTATCCACACGTATCATTGAAAAATGATCTATATTTATTATCTAAACATTTTTATCGACAAAGAGGTACTTAGCGGCGCTATTTGTGAATATCGTATTAACATTAAATTTATACATGCAATCATACGTATATTAGATTTTTGTTGATGGAAATTAGTGGGAATTATATAAAAAATGGTCAATCGTCAAAAATGTCATTTTAAACATGCGAACATGTCTTCTTTTTATTACTGGTTTTATGTTTGTTCTTCCTAATGAGTGCGTCTTCTTCTCTTCTTTGTATGTGCTCAAACTATCTCAGTCTTTTGTGGTTTAATAAATTTTACTATGTCTTCCCTTTCTATTTCTTATTTCATGCTTCATTAGTCTGCTATATTCTCCTTGTTCAGGCTTTATTAGGCTGTTTATTTTTATAAGTTTGCTTTTAATAATACTTACTTTTTCTTTGTCTAGAGATCATTATCTATCATTAACTAGAGATTTAGTCAATCTTCGTTGAGCCCCAGACAAAAATCCTCATCAATTTCATGAAAAAGTCATGAATCTTTTAAATACTATTTCAAATCACATTGAATTGCACACATAACATGAGGAAGTTAAAAGAAATAAAAAAGATTTTTCCAACAAGCTCTAACCATATTTTTGGCAGGTCTAAGAGAACCCCTAGGATCAACAATTCGATCCATGAGACCACCGAATCTCGCTCTTGCTATCCGATATATTCAGAAAAAAAATAATATTAGATATCTCCAAAAATCTCATAATTATTCCTTATCATCTTCTAACAAACCATCTGCCACTTCACAAACGACACAATTTAACTCATACACCCGCTCCTACACGATGGCAGCCTGAGGTACCCAAGCCCCAATGGCCACAGCCATTCTTTAGGCCAAATCAAATGCCTTTGCAACAACAGCCATTCAACAATAGTCCAAGAGGGACATTTCAACCCCCTAGATTCCAACAAAATCAACAAATCACTCAATATGCACAAAATTCTACAACTAACCAACCCAATTTTCATAAACCAGATCCATCTCAATCATATAAGCCAACACCTATTAGCGTATTCACACGCCAAACCGGCAATAGACCCCAATCTCAAAGAAACTTCCGCTTTCAACAAACAGCCAGGCCCCGATTCACGGTAGAAGAGCTCTTTAATATCGAACAACAAGAGCAATTATGACGAAGGTATATAGACACATACCCAGATTACTCTTACTATGAATAAAAAATCCAAGAATATGAGGACGAAGATGTAAATTTTCAAAGATTTCAAAAAGAAAAAGAAGAAACTTAGTAGAATTGCATTCCTTTGCTGACAAAAGAGAGCTTCCTTACATTAAAATTCAAAATCCCCCTCTTAAACTTCTTATTGATACAAGAGCCACTAAATCTTTCCTTAATCCTGATATAACCAATAAATTCCACAAAAATAATATTAAATATGAACCAGTTGCTACATCAATTTTTCAGAATCATTCAGAAGGTTATTGTGTAGAAATTCCAATTTTTCCCGAATTGAACTCAAATATTAACTTAAAATTTTATATTTTCAAAGTTCACAAGACATTTGATGGTCTTAATCTTAAGGCTTCTAAAAGCAAATCTCGATTTTACCCAAGCTACTCTTACTACAGCGCATTCTATTCTTCCTATTAATTACTATGCCACAAATAAAGCCCAATTCTATACAGTCCACCAAGAGCCCTAAACAATTATACAAGTCAAATTTACAGTAAAAGAAACATCAGGTAAAATCGTCATCCCAAGACAAGAAGTCGAAGGTGCCATCCTAAGAGAAACTCTCACCGTCGCATGTAATCAACTTGCCTGGACCGAGCTAGTCAATAACACCGATGAATATATTCAAGTAGCAATAACTGATCCCATCAAAAGTCAACCAATAAATCTAAGAGATGTCGATCCTTTCCTAAGAACCGATCATTTTAATACAAAAGAAGAATCTCACCGAAGACGACAGTGCAGGAAGTTTGCATCATGCATATTTCATCATTCAGACAGTCAGTTAACATTTACTAACCAAATAAAACACCATATACGAACAAGAGATGAAGTTCCGGTTTACACCAAGTCAAATCGGTATCCACACATCCATAAGGATGATCGATCAAGAAATCATCAAACCGAGTCAATTGCCCTGGTCGTCCCCAATGTGGGTCATTCCAAAGAAACCAGATGCCCAAGAAAAATTAAATGGCGAATAGTTGTCGACTACAGGAAGGTGAACGAGAAAACCATCGATGATCTATATCCAATTCCAAATATAACAGACATTCTGGACAAACTAGGACGCTGCCAATATTTTTCCACCCAGTTGTAGCCAGCGGATTCCATCAAATTAAAATGAAGGAAGAAGATATCTAGAAGACTGCATTTAACGTTGAAAATTGGCACTATAAATACCTGAGAATACCATTCTCAGAATGAATGTATGGCAACTTCCCCCGACACATTTGTACAACTATGATAAGAGTTTAGAAATAGGATGCATTACTGTCAGGAAAACTGGTTGTTAAATATTTATTAATTAATTGGGAAGCTACAATTTTAATATTTATTTAATTTATTCAACAAAATGAGCTTAAACTCAAACAAAATTATTATCAATATAAGGTCGAATGTTCGAATAATTGAACTTTGATGGTATACAAGGCAAATATCGAACACAGTAATTAATTAAATCTTGCCCAAGTACTTTCGATCAATAGATCATCCTCAGGGGCATTTCGTCAGTTGTGGCCTATCCGACATGAGCAGAATGTCATACATGTAAATTTGGACATAACAATACAATACACAAAGACAAACAAACACTTTAAAATTTTTAAAAATGGAGAAGCTACATGTTATATAGAAGCCGGATACAGAATCATTTCTGATCAGAGCCGAAGACATTCTGTCTCCGGCTTCTATATAACATGTAGCTTCTCCATTTTTAAAAATTTTAAAGTGTTTGTTTGTCTTTGTGTATTGTATTGTTATGTCCAAATTTACATGTATGACATTCTGCTCATGTCGGATAGGCCACAACTGACGAAATGCCCCTGAGGATGATCTATTGATCGAAAGTACTTGGGCAAGATTTAATTAATTACTGTGTTCGATATTTGCCTTGTATACCATCAAAGTTTAAAATTATTATGACTAAAAAATCCTTCTCATAGATTGGCCTAATCGAATCTTGAATAGAATGAATAGAATGTAGTCAGGAACCAGATAGGCTACATTATGATCAATAAAAGATACCGTAATGCCGTTAAAGCCGTGAAAGCATATCCTGGATCAAACGTCAAAAAGACGTCAAAGAATTCCTACAATAGACACAAGAAAACTTATAGAACCTAAATAAACGAATGCCTCCAACATGAACTGCATGTGAACTGCAGCAAATTATACACAAACATCAATGATATTGACGAGTACTGGGATCGACTAAAACATTGTCTACTGCAATCCTGTAAAGAAATACTAAAGAATTCCGCAAGGAGAAAATAAGAATGGATGAATGACGAGATACTCAATATGATGGAACAACATAGACAATTTAAAAACAAAGAAAACAATAAATACAGAGAGATAAACCACGAGATCAGGAAGATGATAAAGCAGGTAAAAGAAAAATACTTTGAAGAGAAATGCAAAGAGATCTAAGACCTTCAAAATAAATATGATCTGTTTAACCTACACAAGAAAGTTAAAGAACTGGCAGGACTAAGAAAACAAAATTCCACTCGTGCAATTCTGGATAGACACGGGACTACTATAACACATACAGACAAGAAAGTACAAAGATGGGCAGAATATATCGACGAATTGTTCGATGATGAAAAGGAGATCTGGAGCACATAGAACTTACGTCA